TAGATATATAAAAATATGTATATGATATATGATATATGAGCTATGATAAACACTGAATATGAATGTGCCTGTACCCCAACAGTAGTACAGAATGCGACGCGATCTGACAAAAAGGAAAGCACTGAATCTACAATTGCCCGGACAACCCACAGAAGTGAGTTATAATCAGATGCTACACGTAACACACTACAATCGGATACACGTGATGCCATCTCCACGCATATGCACGCATGAATATACGTAATGCCATCTCTACAAACATGCACACATGCACACATTCCCTCCACACCTTCGGACTGTATCCTGTGGCATCCAACTTGGACAGTGACGACGACTTCTGCGCTCTATGTCTGGTGGTGATGGTGGCCTAGAGCAGAAGTAGATGGGAAACACTCCACGGGTGAGGAGAGACAAAGCAGTTCGGTACGATGTGACGGTTTGCGTTTGATTGTTGTACAGACGTTGACGTTAGTAGCAAGTTATATCATTCCGGTGGTAGAGTTGGGTAGATGTCAACCCAAGCCTAAAGGCCTACAACTCTGAACACACGCGGGATGGGTACCCATGGCCTACGGAGAAAAGGGTCGCGCACGAAACACACACGCCTATAACACAGCAGCGACAGGCTCAACTATAGGACTACCATAACAGGTATCTACGCCCACACAGGCAAGTGTAGGTATATGTATACCTACACACACACACACACACACACACAAGCACATACCCACACAAGCACACACCTTTGCCGTGTTGGGGGTGATCATGGCCCAGTCCATGAGCGCAAACAACAGTCGCGTGATGCGGTTGTCTTTGAGGCGCTGCTCTTCTGCGCTGTGTGCGTCGAGTGACAGGGCTGTCATGATGGCGTCAGAGAAGTTGGCCATGACTTCTGTGTACAGGAGAAAGGACAGGCGACCCAGGGCTGCCCACGCACCTGAAGTGGGGGGGGGGGGGGGGTCAGGGATAAGGAAGCGTATAAGGGAATAAAGGAGGATACATCTACACACACACATACACACACACACACACACACAATATACACATGTACACACCCTTATCCGGTGCATCGCCCGCATCCAGATCATTCATATCCTGTGACGTGACAAAGGGGCCTATGACATCTGGCAACAGCGACAGCTGTGCGATGACCATATCACACACAATGTTGTGAGGCGCAGGGACATTCAGTTGCCCTAGCAACGTGTCGACCAATAGCATCACCATGCCTTGGTAGCTCTTCTCTTCGTTGGCGGCGGTGGTGTAGGATGCCCGACGGTTGTCATGGTTACCACTGGGCGGAGGGTGGGGTGGGGACTGGAAGGAGGTCTCGGTGTTGCGGAATTGGCCTGGAGGGGTGTGTGAAGGTTTGGAGTTTAGGGTTTTGGGGGGTGGGTGGATGTGTGACAGAGGGATTTTATATTTAACCACACATAGCAAATTTAAAATATATATATATATAAAGACTGATGTATATAGGCGTGCGGGCGTGAACACACACTCCGAATTGCAAATAGTCATGTTTTAGAGGTTTATGGTGTAGTAAACCCTAAAGCCTGCGGACGCTCATGTCGCAGGCACTGAAGATATATACAAACATACACGTGTGTACCAAACGTTGAATGTGAGAGACCCACACTAACACACACATGGTCATAGCCATGTATGCATGTACTCAGCACATGCACAGGAATATGGTCATCGACAGATGTTCATGTGCTCATATGCATGCATATGTAAACATACACATACATATACAGATACAGATACAGATACAGATACATATACACACATATACATGCACATGCACATACACGAACACATACACATGCACATAGACATGGAAATATATACACACACACATATACATGCACATGCACATACACGAACACATACACATGTACATAGACATGGAAATATACACACACACACACACATACACATACACACACACACACACATACACATACACTCACACACACACATACACATACACATACACACACACCCGCCCACACACACCCAACCACAAGTACAAGTACATAGACATAGACACACACACGCACACACACACACATATCCCTATCTCACCTTGCGCATGCTTCTCAGGTGGATCTAACCACGACTTCTGCCGAGTCATCCCCGCTAAAGGAGAGTTTGCATCTGTGGCAAAACCGGTGTCGCGGTTTGTCTCGGTGGCCACCGACGCGTACTGTAGCATGTGGTAGTACACGAGATTGCCGATGTTCACCAGGGCGATGCAGATGTTCTCGGGGTCTTTTTCTGTATACGAGGGGGTGTAATAAGGGGTGACTGGTGCGTTAGTTTATATAAAGAGTGCATGCACACACATACGCGTGGATGTAGCGGATAGCTGAGTGTGTATGTACCAACACGAAATACAAACACGACGTTCTAGAGCATCTGCTGTGTGGTGGCGTTGTCGAGTATCCTGGGTCGGACCTCACAGAACACAGCCGTACACACTTTATTTAGATACGAATAAGTACTTATGCGTATATGTACATTGTACATACGAATATATACGCATACGTAAATATGTATAGACGAATATATACGTATACGTAATTATATGCGTACGAATATACACCCATACGTACGGATAACAATACTGCACACACACCCTATTCCCTATTTACACATACAGACATACGTACATATACAAGCTTGTCTACAGTGATACTAACACTACACACATACACACATACGCATATTTGCAAGCTTGTATACATTGATACCAACACTACCATACACGCTTTATACACACATACACACGTACGTACATATACAAGCATGTGTACATTGACACCAACACTACCACATACACTATACACACATACACACGTACGTACATATGCGAGCATGTATACATTGATACCAACACTACCACACACACTATACACACATACACACGTACGTACATATGCGAGCATGTGTACATTGATACCAACACTACCATACACACTCTATATACACATACAGACATACGTACATATGCAAGCTTGACTACATTGATACTAACACTACCACACACACTATACACAGATATACACATACGTACATATGCGAGCATGTGTACACTGATACCAACACTACCATACACACTCTATATATATACACATACACGCACACACATACACACATACACACATACACACACACGTACATATGTACATCAATACCCCCGCCCACCCGTGCGCACAGCCGTCCTGAGTATTACGTATGTAGTGCCTCTGATGATCCTGACCATTATACTACCTTACACACTTTATACACACACACACACACACACACATATATATACACACATACACACACACGTACATGTGTACATCAATATCCCCACCCACCCGTGCGCACAGCCGTCCTGAGTATTTCAAATGTAGTGCCTCTGATGATTCTGGGGCGTATCTCGCCAAACGTAGCGGTGGTCTCGTGTGTTGGCAGGTGATGCGATGGATCGGTGGCATGCGCATCCTGAGCTAACGACACCTCGGCTGAGTGGATTGGTGCGGGTGTAGGCCAATTAGTTTGACGTTAGTGGGTGTGTGGGTTAATTAATTTGAATTTAATGGGTGTGTAGACAATTAATTTGAATTTAATGGGTGTTTAGGTCAATTAAGTTAAACTTAATGAGTGTGTCGGCCAATACATCTAAACCAACGTGCGATTGCTAATATGCGAATGACATTCTACGTGCGTGTGCATCCCAATTAAAGCCCATACTATGTCCTTATACTTCACTATATACTTTACCCAGCCCTTGAGTGTAAAACACTAAAACCCTAAAAACTTCACTATATACAATATCCAACCCATGAGTGAGTGGCAGTACACCCCGGACAACACCCACTTGCCATAGCAACAGGCGCACCCGGCCGACTGCCGGAGTGGCCCTGTACGTACCAAATCGGACACACACCCACACCTACCTAACGGTGAACTGGACCGGCTCCTATAGGGCCTGGCCAACCGGTCCGAAGATGTGCGCCTGGGTCGCCCACGGGGGCTGGGATTGTCCTCTGCATCGTATAGCATTGGCACATACAATATGCTACCTACTATGGTCAGCGCAGCACGCCGAAGTGTGGGGGCTGTCCCTTTGGCACGGCGCACGACGGATAAGATGGCTGGGGGGTGGGATATAAATAGAACAAGATGTATAAATAGAACAGGAGATGAGACGGACAAGATGGCTAAGGGTGGGTTATAAATAGAACAAGAGGTATAAATAGAACAGGAGATGAGACGGATAAGATGGCTGGGGGGTGGGTTATAAATAGAACAAGAGGTACAAATAGAACAGGAGATGAGACGGATAAGATGGCTGGGGGGTTGGGCTATAAATAGAACAAGAATTATAAATAGAACAGATGAGCGAGAGAGAGTGAGGTATGGGTCAGGGGCACTGACAGTAGAACAACAATCGCTATTCACAACCATACACGCTACACACACAGACACTTGTGTGTGTGTACAATGTGTATGTGTGTGTACAAGCATCATCACTCACCATCCAGATACGTCGACAGTAGCACTGAGCTGCCTGGCAATCCCAGAGTGAAGATGTTGGTGGTGTTGAGTAATATCTCGGCCAGAAACGTACCGGACAGATCGGAGAGGCCCTCGTGCAGCAACAGATACGCCTGCGACAGAATGGCAGTGGGCGCGTGCAAACGACGACGCTTGCAGATGATCTGACACTGCAGAGGGATAGGGGTGGGGGTGGGATGGGAGGGGAGTTGGTGTGGCAAAGGATAAGTATGCGGAAAGTGTGAGGGAACATAGACTTCAATAAATAAATATATAGTATGTCCTATTATACAACATACACCCACATTCGACATAAACTAACATCCTATATATACTAATATATCAACATGCTACTCGCACGATCACCCTACATACACCAAAACCCTACATACACCAACTTCATACATACACTGAACCCTACATACACCAACATCTTACATACACTAAACCCTACCTATTCCACACAACCCATCCCCAACAAACACCCCAGCCAGGAACCTACCAGCTGCCTATAGGCCAAGTTGCGTCTCTTCGCAAGCCCATTCTTCCGCAAGCACGCCTCAAACACCCACGTGATGCTATCGTACACCTCCTCACAAACACACTCACAAACACCCCACATAT